TTTTTGGTTTGAATTTTTATCTAGTGTATCTTTATCTAATCAATACTTAACTATACTAATCATGAATGCAGATAGGTTACAGTGTGTGGGGGGGTGCGTGCATGCTCTATACCAGTGTTTCCCAACCGGTGTTCCGCGGCACACTAGTGTGCCGCGAGACGTTGCCTGGTGTGCCGCGAGATGTTGCCTGGAGGGAGGCGGGCGAGTTGGGCGGCGAGAGGCGGGGCGGCGGCGGCGAGGAGAGGCCGCCCAGCGCGGGGCTCTCGCCGTCTGCCTGCCTGGCTGCCTGCGTGGCGCTGACGTCACGGGGCTGTAACGTGCCCCACATAGGCACACGCGGGGCGGCGAGCGAGCTCCCTCCCACATCCCATCGCCGCTCGCTTCGGCCGGCCTACTGGGCTGTCGCAGGCGGAAGGCCTGCGCATGCGCGAGGTTTTCGCGCCTTCGGGATTCCCTTCACGCCTTCCTCCTCCCGGGTCCTTGAGAGCGCGGGAAGCGGCAGCGCGAGACCGGCGTTGAGCCTGGTAGGCATTGCGCTTGCCAAGGCAGTCATTTGGGAAATGAAAACTTGCAAAGCAAGCAACCAGTTCAATCTGAAGTACGTGTATGCTTAATATCCTGTATCTGAAACCTGTTCTGCCCCCTCCCCCACACTTGGTGCCATTTTCATCTACACATGCAGCAGAGTAAGTTGACCCAGAATAGTACCAATTCAGATGGCAGATGGGAGAATGACAGTGCTGAATGCTTTCCCATGTAGAACAGTCCCTGCAAATAAAAACCTAGCATATTTGGAAGAGGGATGCTAGCCTAACCATTACCTTCTATGCTGTTACTATTTTTTTATTTTTTTTTTACATAAGTAAAAAGTGACCTTTCCCCATCTGGCATGGTGGTGTGCCTCGAGATTTTTTTCATGAAACAAGTGTGCCTTTGCCCAAAAAAGGTTGGGAAACACTGCTCTATACACCCTGCATTCTTGAAACAACAGAGTGCACTTCTGATTCTTCTTCTTTCTGGTTCACCTGGGTGAAGATTAATACACTGAGTACAAAAGTAGGCATTTTCATAGACAGATGAAATGTTCTTGCCCTACCACAGATTGTTCCTTGAATGAAGTCCAAGAGCTCCATAGGATAATAGTAAGGATGACAATCAAGCTCTATCTCTTTACTTTTTCATCACCTAGTCTGGATTTGATTTTGTTTGTCTTGCTTTGCTGTGCTTTGGAATCATCATACATACATTGTGCATTCAAATGAAGAGATTGTCTAAAAAGTAAATGTGTTAGTTTTCACTTGCAAATGGGATGCTGGGAAATTATTATAATTCATTCAGTTCATGGTTGGGATCTTATTCCTTACTTGGTTGTTGAGACCTAGAAACAGAATAAGTGAAAACATGAAAGTGAATGAACTAAGAGTAATAGAAGCAGACCCATTGATTTCATTACATCTCCTCTGAGTAGGACTAACATTGGATATCTCTCCCATGAATGCAAAAAGAAAGAAAAATGCAAAAGTAGATGAATAGCAGCTTTCATAACCATTCTTTAGTAAGAACCATAAGGTCTTGTAGCATTTTATAGCCTAAAAAATCTCACTACAGTATGGCATAAACTTTAATGGACCAAAGTCTACTTCAACCTTTAAAAGTGTGCTACAGAGAGCACCATACAAACAGGTGCAGTCAATCCTATACAGTATACATTTGCTTAGTACGATCTCTCATTGAGTCAGCAGGATTTTGTCACAGGTAGTAAGTGAGAGTACTCTCGTGCCATATCTTTGCTGACTAGTCTGTATTGTAATTCTTGCCTACTTCATGGAATATAAGTAATCATATATACATTGTGCTGTGCATTGTGCATGTATTTAATGTTAGAGCTTAGCTCATCAAGAAATACTCTACAAATGTTGATGTTCACCACCACCAGTTAGCAAGGCTCAATTATATACAATAGCTTTCCTCCAAACCCTTCAAAATGAGCACAGTAACTTATCTCTGCCCACTCCAATTATTACACTCTCCTCCCCACAAAGTGGATACCAGCACATGTGAACAGAGAAAGTATTTAAAGTGGGTTTATTTAAAAACCAAGCAACTGTGATGTATCAAGAGTCTTTTAATTTATCAAACTTCCTGAGTCACTGTGTCAGCAATATGTGCTGAATTTTAAAATGAAGAACTTATGGATATGATAAATATGTCCATATTGGAGTTACCAGTAGCCAGCTTGATCTTATCTTTGAAATAAAATCTACTCAAATTGATGAAAGTAGAACTCTGTGGCACAAGATATGCTATGTTCTGTTGTAGAATCTGGAGAGGCCACATCTGTATAAATGTAACAGCAGGTGCCCTCTACAACTAGACTACAACTCTGTACCCTGTAACACACCTACATCCTATTTATTTCAACAAGGCTTAAGCACACTTAACTGGACATAGGATTGTAGCCTTAGGGGACACACTGCATCCCTCCCACCCGGCAGCTTCCCACGCTGTTGATTGAATGCTTTGCAATAAGCAAGAGATGCACACAAATAGCCTCCTTGTTAAACAAGGTGCCCTTTATCCCTGCCTTGGTTATCCCAGAACTACTCATGCAAGCCGCACTGGCAGAACAGATACCTGGATGATTCTGTTCCATGGTGTGAATTGCCAGGAAGTAAAGAAGAACTAAACAACACTAATAGATTCATGCATACCCATACAAGAAGCAAGGTTCAAAGGTCCAAGGAATATAATTATGAGACACAGATGTGCATTTAGATAGCAAGGTTTGGACTGGGGGAAAAATACAATGAGGCCACAGTCCTATATTCTATTACATAAGAGGAAGCCTCATTGGGCAAAATGAGACTTACTTCTGAGTAGGTGCCAAGATAAAGGCTTATGCTGTTAGCCTCACATGATCACAGAGGTTGTGCTCATCTGGATTTTTAGAGTAACTCTAGTTTAAGCATAGAAAGTGATGGCAGGAAAAGCCTGGATTTATTTTTTTCTATTAATTAAAAAAAGCCTGATCAGAAGGCTACAAGAATAACCCCCTCACTCAGGAAATCAGTACCTATTCTGTACAAGGTGTCTGTAATTCTACACAATAAAACCATGGTTGCATGTAACATCCATATTCTAAGAGGCAGCATAGAGGGATGTTTTGCTGCATCTTTTTTCTTCTGGTCTGACAATGGACATTTATATAAATGGATTTCTGAAACAATGAAAATCAAGAAAACCTTTGCAGAAGGAAAAACTATTCCCCAACACACATGAATTCTGAATATAAAGTAGCTTATGGTCCCATCATCTTACCACTTCAGAATATCAACCTAAAACACAGTACCATCAAATCTGCCTACTTTTTAAAGGAGTGCATTAATAAGAAACAAGATACTATATGCTGCAAAAATGCTTAGGGTAGGTAACAGAAAACACAGTTATTGATTATCACATCACCACCACCCATTCAGTTGCTTTTGGATTCAAAAGCACTGGTGGAAAATTGAGCCATTATCGTCTCCTGCTTCTTTTTCCAGGCAAAATCAAAACACGATCTGCACGTGAGTGATCAGGGAGAATTGCTCCAGCACATTGCCTTTGGCAGGAAGCACAGAAGCTACATTACACACTCTGTGCTATCAAAATAACTGCCAGAGAAAGAAATGCAAAGTAAATGGGACACCTGCAGAGATCCACATAAGAAATTAACTTCTTCCCTCCCTGCCTTCAGGGGTCACCTTTTTTCAAAGTGCCCTGTTTTCTGAACTTTTACACCCCAACCCTACGCAGCGTTAGGCAGGCTGGAACATCTAAAGCCCGTGATTTTAGTAGAGTCAGGCAGCCTGAACTCTGAAAAGAATCAAGCAGCTTGTGTGCTAAACTGTTCTTGGCCAATCAACTAGCAAACCGGTTGCGAGCCTTATTGCAAAGACACAACTGTAGAATGCAGGGCTGCATTCAACCACAGCGAAATGTAAGAACAACTTCAGCATCTACCAGGACTCTCTCATTCACACATGCAGACACTCGCAGGCTTGTACTGAAAGGGACCAGTAAGAATGAACTGAATGTTTTACTGGGCAAGGGAGGGGGTTCCCCTGTGTACCTTCTTCTACCTTTTCAGCAATTTCAGGAGGCAAGCAATAGAGACATGCCATAACGCTTTCCAGTAAGAAAGAAGCTGACTGGAAATCACAAACTTTTATCATGGGTTGGTGAATCCAGAATAACCACCTCTCTCTAGTTACTCGCACTCACTAGAAAGAATAGAGACCTCTTTGCCACTCGGATAAAATAATAATTACTGTACTAACGTAGATGGGAAATATGTCCCACACGTGAACAGGCATCGCGGAAAGGAAAGGGGAAGTCTGCCCTTATTTATTTGTTTTTAAAATTGTGTGTGTTGCTAGTAGGGTTGCGAGTGACTGTTTAGGAGTAAATAATCTGCTTTCAGAGGTTCGGCGATCGCCCTGTCAGACCAGGCACCCCTGTCGCCCCACTTCAAGATCTGCGTGGCTTGATCCGGAGTAACTGACCACCTTCTGCTCAATGCAAACACGAATCCACTTCTCCCTTAGAATCACAGAGACGTGTGTGTGTGTGTGTGTGTGACCCTTGGGTTTGTGTAAATCGGGGGGCAACTGCCGCTCTCCGCTCACTACGCTTAACGCCCCCCCCCCCAGCTTTATGCGTGTCTCCCGGGGAGCAAATCCCGCCGCGTTCCACGGGACTCGCGTAAAACGCGAAGGAGGCTCCTCAGCCTTGCGCGCAGGTGCCGCCCGCGACCCCTCACGTCCCCTCGTCCCCTTCCTCCCGCTCCCTCTCTCCCGGCTGAAGCCGCCCAGCCTCGCGCTTCCTTCCCCCGGAGAGGAGCGCGCGAGTTGGAGCAAGCCAGGTGCGAACGAAGTGCTGAGGGAGAGAGGCTTCGCCCTGCCCTCCCGCCCGGGAAGCTTCTCGCTTTCCCCCCCCCCCCCCGCCGCCGCCGCCCGTACCTGGAAATGCTTGAAGAAGGCGGAGATGCGCGTGATCTGCAGGCTGAGGCACCTGGAGGTGCACCTCGCTCCGTAGACGCTGGCCGCCGAGAAGGAGTCGTCCTGCCTGCGAGCCGCCTCTCCCGCGGCGGCGGCAGCGGCAGCAGCAGCCGCCGCCGGCCGCCACGCCGGGTAAGCAGCCCCAGGAAGAAGCCGTAATCCAGAGGAGAAGGGTCAAAGGCACGCCGGGCTCCTGAAACCCCATGGCTTTGTGTATAACGCGCGCCGGCGAGAAGGAAGCGCGGGAGGAGGAGGAGGAGGAGCAGCGAAGCCCCGACAGCAGCCGCCTTCAGGACGCTCGGCGCGCGCCACTGAGGCGAAAGGAGGCGAGACGAGGCAGCCTCGGCGCGGGGAGCAAACTCGGCGAGGAGGGGGGGGGCGAGAGAAAAAGTTCAACCATCCAACTCTCTTCAACCCCCCGCCAGTCTCCGCCGAGCTCACCGCCCTCCCCTCACTCCCAGGAGGGGGTGGGGAGAGGGGTGACAGAAGGCGGCGCGATTGGCTGCGGGAGGCCTGAGTGGCAAGCGCGGCGGGAGGGGGCGGGGTGTCTGACCGCAGGCAGGTCGCGCGAGCGGCGGTGCTGCTGAAGCGAGGGAATGGGTTGTGGGGGGGGGGGGGCTTGGCGTTGTTGAAAAGGCGGGAGGCTTCGGGTGAAGAACTTTCTGCCGTGCTGCACACGGCATGGGCTGACGCGTTGCGAAGCTCCCGCGAAGACGGGCGCCCCTCTCCAGCCAGGCGGGCGGGAATCGTGCATCTGTCGCGCGCAAAACACCTGACGGAGCACCTTCGCCAAGTGCAGCGCGCGGGCAAAGGGGCAAAGGCTCGAAGGGATGAGGGCCTGAGGGGAAGTTTGGCTGCCTGAGGCGGAGCGCCAAATGATTCCCCCCAGTGGCATAGCGTGGGTTGTCAGCACCCGGGGCAAGGCAAGTAATTTGCGCCCCCTAACCCGTGGATTTGCTCCCCCTAACCTGTGGATTTGCCCTAACCCCAGATGTTGCGCCCGGTGCGCAATGAGGGAACCGCCAGAAGGCCCTCGGCGCTGGACCTCAGCGTCCGGGCAAAACGATGGGGGTGGAGACGCTCCTTCAGGTATACTGGGCCGAGGCCATTTAGGGCTTTAAAGGTCAACACCAGCACTTTGAATTGTGCTCAGAAACGTACTGGGAGCCAATGTAGGTCTTTCAAGACCGGTGTTATGTGGTCCCGGCGGCCGCTCCCAGTCACCAGTCTAGCTGCTGCGTTCTGGATTAGTTGTAGTTTCCGAGTCACCTTCAAAGGTAGCCCCACGTAGAGCGCATTGCAGTAATCCAAGCAGGAGATAACCAGAGCATGCACCACTCTGGCGAGACAATTCGCGGGCAGGTAGGGTCTTAGCCTGGGTACCAAGTGGAGTTGGTAGACAGCTGCCCTGGATACAGAATTGACCTGCGCCTCCATGGACAGCTGTGAGTCCAAAATGACTCCCAGGCTACGCACCTGGTCCTTCAGGGGCACAGTTACCCTATTCAGGACCAGGGAGTCCTCCACACCAGCCCGCCCCCTGTCCCCCAAAAACAGTACTTCTGTCTTGTCAGGATTCAACCTTCAATCCATTAGCTGCCATCCATCCTCCAACCGCCTCCAGGCACTCACACAGGACCTTCACCGCCTTCACTGGTTCTGATTTAAAGGAGAGGTAGAGCTGGGTGTCATCTGCATACTGATGAACACCCAGTCCAAACCCCCTGATGATCTCTCCCAGCGGCTTCATATAGATGTTAAAAAGCATGGGGGAGAGGACAGAACCCTGAGGCACCCCACAAGTGAGGGCCCAGGGGTCTGAACACTCATCCCCCACCACCACTTTCTGAACACGGCCCAGGAGGAAGGAGCGAAACCACTGTATAACAGTGCCCCCAGCTCCCAGCCCCTCTAGACGGTCCAGAAGGATGTTATGGTTGATTGTATCAAAGGCCGCTGAGAGGTCCAGCAGAACTAGGAAACAACTCTCACCTTTGTCCCTAGCTCGCCGGAGATCATCAACCAGCGCGACCAAGGCAGTTTCAGTCCCATGATGAGGCCTGAATTGGAAGGGATCCAAATGGTCCGCATCCTCCAGGCGTGCCTGGAGTTGTTCAGCAACCACGCGCTCAATCACCTTGCCCAAGAATGGAAGATTTGAGACTGGGCGATAGTTGGCCATACTGGCCGGGTCTAAAGATGGTTTTTTAAGAAGCGGTTTAATGACCGCCTCTTTCAGCGGATCTGGGAATGTTCCCTCACAGAGGGAAGCATTCACCACCCCGCAGAGCCCATCGCCCAGCCCTTCCCGGCTTGCTTTTATTAGCCAGGATGGGCAAGGATCAAGGAGACAGGTGGTTGGTTTCATGCGTCCAAGCAGCCTGTCCACATCCTCAGGGGTAACGGATTGAAATTGATTCCATGCAACTTGACCAGACAGAGCTCTAGCACTCTCCCGCCCCAGCCCTGCTCCCACGGTGGTGTCTAGCTCCTTCCGAATATGAGTGATTTTATCTGCAAAAAACTTTGCAAAATCGTCCCACAAGGTCTGAGGGACAGTGAACCGGCCCCCGGCTGAAAAAGTTTGCTGACCCCTGCTCTAAACAAGCAGCCTGAGGCATCCACCGCCTCCTACCTAATGGTAGGGCTGGTATTGTCACGGGCAGGGGTGCCATCTTGAATAAAATATAGGAGGGCAGGTAAGCCCCATGCTACATAATTGATCACATAACATGGCACACACACACCATTTGAATGGTAATACCCAGTAACTTTGGGGTGGCCTGGCCCCCTCAAATATTTTATGGGGGGGCAAAGGGACCTCAGTCCCTAGGAGTTGCCTCCTATGGTCTGGGGCAGAGGACTAATCAGAGAGAGGGACAACTGCCCCACATCAGGACAATGTCCACTGTACCCAGACACAGACTTTAAGGCTGCGCCTTAAGAGGACACCTTTAAGTTAGGTGCTGACTTTAAAAGCACCAGTCTTAATACTGGCACAAACTCTTTTCAGTACGTAATCTTGCCTCTTTCCTCAAATGTAACATTCTGGCACTGAAGGAATTTCCAAACCTGACAATGGAAAAACAGGAGTTATTGAAACTGAAACTGCGGCCTAAGGCAAAGTTCAGATACAGCCACTTAATATATTTATAAATGTTCACAAATTCTTAGAAAAGACAGTTATGGAAGCAGAATATTTAGAGTTGTAGTGTTACCTCTTTACTTAAAACTGTTTTACTCTTTAAACATATCGTAAGAGCAGACAAATATGTTCTCCTATAAAATTAGCTGGTGTGCATATAAACACTGCACAAGCACACTAAGCCTAGTGACATAAGAACAGACATTTTTCAATTCGTGTAGCTCCTGTTGCATTTTCTTTGTTCAAATTTCATATTTCTTTGGTTGCCAGAATATTTCATGGGTTGTTGTTTTTTAACTAAACATACAGTGGTACCTCGCAAGACGAAATTAATTCGTTCCGCGAGTTTTGTCGTCTTGCGATTTTTTCGTCTTGCGAAGCACGGTGTTGGGAAAGTTTTGGAAAAGCTTCAAAAATCACCAAAGTCTTTAAAAACCTCAAAAAAGGCTACCACACCGCGTTCTATGAGTTGCTCCTCGAAGTCAAGTCGCAACTGTATTAACGGTGTTAAGAAAAAGGAAACAAACTTGCAAGACGTTTCTGTCTTGCGAAGCAAGCCCCTAGGGAAAATCGTCTTGCGAAGCAGCTCAAAAAACAAAAAACCCTTTCGTCTAGCGAGTTTTTTGTCTTGCGAGGCATTCGTCTTGCGAGGTACCACTGTATCATTTTGCCTTAGAAATTCAGCAAAGGGGCAATTGCTTTTTTCCCTTTGAACTACCATCAAAACAGAAAAGAGGACATATGTATCACTTGGGGCAATGCTGCAACAAGAGGGCAGCTCTGACATCCAAGATCAAAGATGAACATAAATTTGCATCTTGGCAATATCACTAGGATATTGGAAGAAACCTTGGCAAGAACGTTCTGTTTATGCAGCACCATGCTAAAGGTCTTTCCAGCTCCGAAGGTTCCTGGAATTTTTGCATGGTTCTGCACTGAGTCTTGCCAGTGGCTTTGCCTGGAATTTGGCAGTGATTTCATGTTGTGGCAACAGCAGAAACTTCAGCCCTTCTTGCACCCCCAGCTACCATAGCTTGGCACAACTGAACTACAAACCTTACTTTTCCTAAGGCTGTAAAAAAAAAGTGTCAAGAGATAATAGCTTGGCAACCTAATCTTTAACATATTTATTTGGAACTAAGCCTTTCTGTTTAAAGTGAGACTTGTTTCCAAATAGCTGTGCTTATTCCAATTTCATGCTGAATGTAGCAGGTGAAGCTTGTAGAAAACCTCAGTGCGTTGTTTAAACATGAAGTTTTGAAATCATTAAGTCCAGTGCCCTTAGGTAAAAACTGCAACATTTTAAAATGCCAAACATCTTGAGCTGTTAAAAGTTTGCTGAAGTTATGGATATGAACTACTTTCTTTTTTATTTTTAGCTATTATAACTGGCATTCACACGACCTCAAACTCTGTAAATTGAAAGTACTGTAGTAGAGATACTTTGCAGCCTAGTGCTGGGACCCTAATCTAGTAACAGAGCAATTCTATAAGATCCATTGAGTTCAATGAGGCTTGGGTAACGGGGTGTAGGATTGCAGCCTAAAGCTACCTGGAAGTTAGTGTGTTTGCTTATCCAGCTTATAACACTCTTCGAGTGCAGAAGGGAATAAGGGACGTGCAAGACAAGACCAGGCAATTGGCAGGCAGTATGAAGCCTCTGGATTGGCAAGGCCTGGCATAAACAGGAGAAGCCTGGCCATCTGCCCTTGCTTGTTCAAGTAACCTCTCTCAGCTGCACTTCAGTCATCAGCAGGAATCCGGAGACTGGATGTGTCTAAGGCTGTTGCTAGCTAGAGACCAGGCTGGCCCTGACATGTACATGCTGGGCTATATGTATTATGAAAATATGCCTTGGTGTGAGCATACATTTCTAACTGTAGCATGTACTTTGAATCCTCCAAGTATTACTTATTATATATTAGTATTATTAGTCTCCCCCCCCAAAAAAAGGAACTCAAAGCAACTTCCAAAAACAAACATTAAAAACAAATATAAAAAGAGTTTGAAAAGGTAGGGATGCAAGTAAACTGAATAGAACAAGAGTGAGTACTTCCATATGAGACTTGAAGCAATATCCAAGACCTCCCCATCCCACCCCAATTTGTTTTGCAAACCCTAACATTTCCATTTCTTGAGAGCA